AATAATCCTGTAAAAAGATTATATATAAAACAAGTGAACGATGAATTCACTAAGCCATTCAAGTCATGTTGTCCCACGCTGTCCAGGTCGCATTTCCGCCCCTGCTCTGTATATCAACATAACACCGTCTTAACAACCTTCGGGCAATATTTCCGGGCTGTTTGTCCACATCCGGTATTTAAATGCATTAGAGTAAATGTTAAGCCATGGCTTTAAAAAAATGTGATAATTGTGAGTGCCTACTACAGAGATTGCATATCACTTTTCATAACTTGTAACGTTTTTTTTAGCTGGCCGTAATTGTAAGTTTGTTCCATATTCAAATTACGTTTGTCTTACCGACGTTTTTATACAATTTTACGCAATCTTTGACTATGCGTGATATCAATAAAATGTCTTTTTTTAACCACCTCAAAAAAGAAGGAGGTTTTCAATTCTACTGTAGTTTTTTGTGTGTTACGCTATTACTCGGACACTTCACATTCGTGAACCGATTTCGATTATTCTTTTTTTGTTGGAAAGAGGGTATACCACAGTTAGTGGTTCCATTGAAATAAATATTCAATCTCTAAGGGCTGCTAATTAGGAGATGAATCCAATTATCAGTCCCCATTTCAATAAAATTTGGCAAATAAATGTAATTTCACAAACTATTGAATTCGGTTCTATTTTCAAAACGAGTTGTAATTATTAATATAATGTTAAACGCCATCATGAAGTCACCTTATGCACCAGGTCACCTGCGGCACTTTTAACGGCACGGATAATTTATAACGCCGTTTTCAGTTGTGTTGGGATTTACTAAGGTGCATAATTTAAGAATATAAAAATTTTTGCTTTAGTAATGTGAAATAACTTTTGTAATCTTTCGAAATAAACAGTTTAAAATTTAAAATTTAATTTTTGCTCATACCGGACAAATTCCAAATATAAGTACCTGCAAAACTTGCAGATTGGAAGAAGTTGTACAGTCTGATATTCGATTTAGGCATATAGTATTCATACTCTAGAGCTGAGAAGTGTAGGTAACCAGTTCCATTGGATTATCTTGCGCCGCTTTGTCGCTTCATGAAACGGCATTTCTAGGATCTTGGGAATGTGGTCCGGCCGTTGTGGTGATCTACGACCTAGGTTTCTTTCATTTGTATAACGCACCGAGAAACATAAAATACACGAAGACCGACTGAACTATTTTTAACCGCTGTAGGCGTATGTCAATTTTATTTTTTAAACAAAGTTATTTATATTGTACTTATTTTAATTCGCGTCTACATTTTTTGTTTTCTTTTTAATTTTAATTTTATTTTTAAATCGGCCACTTCGAAAAGGGTCCACTGAAAACCAACGCTGTGGCTCCGCCACAGTATTTGCTGAGTTGGGCCCTTTTCAGTGCAATACACTTTAAGCATAAAATCATAATATTGCACTTGTAACACGTGTTTGTGATCAAAATAGTAGTTTATGTTTACGTGTGTGGGTTTATGAAACGAGCCGACAGGCGAGTTATTATGTACATACATTACTTTGTCTATATACATATTATAAGCTCTCTATGATGTGTTCAGGAACCGCATGTTACGACTGGCGAAATGGCGACAATTAAAAACTTTTCTCACGCTTATCTCACACAACCGTAGTTTTTATATAATTCATAGACAATCTAGAGTCGGCCTCAACTATTATATCGTTCGATATCATGTAACGTGTGAAATTTGTCAAAATTGTTTGCTACTGACATTTCATTTCGAATAAAACTTCATCTCGACTGATATTAGAATTGAGATCGAATCAAATTGTTTTGTTTTTCAGAGATGTTCGAAATTTGAATGTAATAATAAAATCGAATTTGATGTTATTATTAAGCGATAATAACGTTTTCACAGATAAGAAATTTGTTCTAACAAAACTATAGGCTGGTCGTAATTTGCGGTTTTTGAACACATCATAGAGGTTTATGATATGTTACATACATAAATTTATAATATTATAATAGATAAAATTTATTTTCTTTCTTTCTTTCATCTTTCATTCTTCCCTCGAATTTCCCGAAAATACTCACAATGGTCTTCTCGAGATAGAAGAACACTTAATAGAAGGTAGCTTTTTTGGATTCTGAACTTCTCTAGTAGCGGTGGTGATGAGTTGAAAATGAGTGGTCTACGACGATGTAGGTACCTACACATAAAACTATTGTATAAACCATTATTGGGTAACTCAATACTTAGCACCAGATAAGGAGGCCCCAGGGTTTGATTCCAAATAGGGACAATTTGGGAAACGAAACTTTAAACAGTGGTTCTGGTCTGGTAGTATTCTAGGTAATGGCACGTAATGCTGTCGGAGATAATTTTGTTACCTACTCTGATACTTATTGTATTTAATCTTTTTTTCGATCAGGTATTGGTGTAATTGATCGTTTGGCATATTCATTATTTATTACTTCAATATTATAATATGTAAGCCACTGAAAACCTAACCTTGTTAAATTAACTAAATCTATACCAACCTATGTAAATAAAGAGGATACCTGGAGTTTCATACACCTTTCTTGTAAAGTATAGATGTTCAGCAAAAACATTTCCATGCAAAACAAAGGAACAAAATAATTTTGATAATGGTCCCTAATGTTATTCATAATTTTTCAATCGTAAAGTAATTGTGACTTTATAATAAAAAAGCCGACCTCAAAAGTTCGTGGTATTTCATCTATTTGCCAATTTTTATTGGAATCGGTTATCGGAAAGTGCGCGAAACCAGATTCGTCTCTTTCCAACAAAAAAAGTCATCGGTTCACCAATGCTGGATTAATGGCGTAACATACACATACATAAAAAATAAAGTCGAATTGAGAACCTCCTCCTTTTTAAAGTTGGTTAATAATTTCAAATCTTGTTACTACTAAATGATTACCCCTGTGGCGCCATCTAGATTACTCGATTAGAAGTTCGTAGCTAGCCACTTCACTCGGCAAGAATGAACAGCAAAGTATTAATAATATTGTTCGATAGATGGCTCTGCGTTAATAAAAAGTATTAGTAATATTCTTCGGTAGGTGGCTCTGCTTTAATAAACTCTTACTCCTATTTTGATTTCAACAGTCAATATTTGTATTACAATACAGTATTCTGGCGTTTATCATTCTTTTTGAGCTACAGACTCCTATGAAAACAAAGGTAATTGTCGTTGACCCCCATAATAAAAAAAGAATGGTAAGTAGGAAACACTGAGATAGAATTTGTTTATTTTTCTAGCTGAAAGATGAGTCTGTATTCCCATGGAAATTCTCATGGTCCATGAACAAACGAATCGATAAATATTTCTAGTTAACCTGTAAGCTATCTTCAAAAGCATACACTTCAACAATGCTTATATTAAAGTAATGACACAGAGTTCGTTGTATAAACAACTGTATTTACAACTGTAATTATAAGTGTGTTGTAAGTAATAAATACCGAGGCTATACATATACCTACTGGATTAAAACGAACCTACAGCGTAATTAGTAATACAGCAGGTTAGATGTTATTAGCCGTCATTAGGTATCATACTGAGGCTTAAATATGCCTTAAAGCTGTTGATTTCCTGTCTAATAGTGCCAAGGATGATGAAGATGAAGGTATAGGTAGCCGTATTAAGCATTAAAAATATTCGCTGTTCATTGTGGCACATATAGCTGCACCCTAACCTAATTGATTTGCTTAGATTGTTTGTACCTATTTTACTATAAAGGTTTCATCACACTTGTTAAAGGCTAAGCGGTTAAGCTAGTCAGGTAGTTTTCAGAAACTGACGTGTCTGGAGGGACCAGATGATGTCTAGGTCATCCTCTACTAGCTCTCCGGGCTAGTGCCGGACTTGCCGATCGCAGTGTCCTGCGACAATGTCTGGACATAGCTTCCGATTCTATTCCATTCTATTTTACCTCGCCTTAGGCCCTCGTCTAAGTAAAACCATTTCCAGAAATCCCGAATTTGAAAAAGTAATTAATTAATATTTGGTGGGTTTTAACAACTCTATGTCGCTCCTTGTAGTTATATCTATACATGTATCTATATATCGTCTGCTTAAAGGTAAAGCCACATAAGCGACATTTTCCACAAAAAAATCTCCAAATTATACACCAGTTGTAAGAAATTCACCATCTTTCTTAGCTTTTTTGTTATTGAGCTTCACGTGCAGAAAAATAGTGATTTTCTTACAATAGCTATATAAATTAAAGACTTTTCGTGGAAAATGTCACCTATGTGGTTTTACCTCTAAACATACAATATTTATGTGGAACACTTTGAAAAGGGTTGTAACCCTAAGTAGCCGTGAACAGGTTCACGGCAATGAAACGGGAAACTTCCGGTCTACAAAATTTATTAAAGAAGTAAAGTTTAAAGAAAAGGCCCTAAATGGGCCGAGTAACTGAATTACAGATATAGGTACACGAAGACTGTAGACTGTTATAAATTATTACACATGAGTTAGCTTATTAAATGATTATAAACGTAGTAAAAAACCAGAATTAGCGATTGTTCGCGATGGAATTTGAAACAGCTCCGACTGTTGTAGCTCGTGCTGGGAGTAACCGTGGTACGAAAACAAAATGAGAAAGTGAAGGAAGATGGAACAATTCAAATTTAAAATTTAAATACATGTAAAATAAAAAAAATGATAGGATACAAGCGGAGATAGGCGATACAAAAAGTTGAGATGACGGTGTAAGGAGGTCACACCGTCACAACCTTTTTCCAACCATTGATCATAAATAACGTAATTGACATTTTAGCGAAATTGAGTTATTCATATTATAATATTATTTTGGTCTGCAAGAAAAGCTATTGGGCACCGAATAAGTAGGTACAATAAGCCTTTGGCGATTGTCGTTTTAACAACTCTGTTGCTCCTTGTAGCTATATCTGTACATGTATCTATAAATGTAGAACACCTTTTTCGCACCATTGGTTATGATATATATGGAGAGCAGTACAGTGGTAGGAATAAGTTAGGCTTACCTGGGTGCGTTGACGTCCTGCGTCGTCGCGCCGAGGCTCGCTTCACTACAGTCGACACCAAAGAATCCATTTCACTGCCCGAATCCCATCTTGATCTCTGAACTACAGGTCTGGGCAGCATCCTTCCATCATCCTCAGTGTCTCTATCGCTACTGGTCGGTGGCAGATTTGACTCATCACTTTCAGGAGGCGCCTCAACTTTAACGTGCCTATTGAACACGCCAATCATAGTAACATCGTGTATTTCATCGGTACACGTGATAGGATGGGTTAAAGTCCGTCTGATATTACTCTTTCTATGCTTCACTTTCATAGACCCTTCGGAAAGAGATCTTTTGCCGTTAAATTTAAAATCTATTTTGCTATCGCCTCTTGTGCTTTTTAGGTCGGACGGGGAGAGCGATTTTTTTCTCGAATGCCGACGTTTGTTGGTGCGTTTTTGTCTACTGGATTCTCGTGCTGTTTGCATCGTGGGTGCATTGGGAAGATCTGCAAGAGGAGAAATGCAAGTTATAAAATATAAAGGAAAGCTATAATAGTAAATTATGGTACAGTGGATTTTATAGTCATTATTATTATAACGTCGCGTCGCCGTGTCGTCGTAACTAAAAGACGAAGCCGAAATGTAAATTACATGGATTAAGGACGTCTATTTCAATACTGAAATACCTTCGTAATTATGTCAATTGTGCATAAATATTTTAAAACAACTTATCTTTACTAAAGCTTTAAACAACTAGTAGATACTTAAATCAAAAAGAGACATAAATCCGCAATTTTTCGAATCTAAATCGTGTATAATTGTTTTTTCGAACAAAACAACGTCACAGCTCTCTGGGACTGACCATGGAAACTGCAAAGATCCAGAAATGTTTTTTTTTGTTTGAAAAACAAATATACGCGGTTTAGATCCGATAAATATAGTTTAATTTCCTATGTGTAACAATCATGAAAACCTTAGAACTCTATATTAAACAATCTAAATCCAAATTATTTTGTTTCATTTTAGTTATACTATTTTGTTTTATTGTTTATACTTACGAGTGATGATCACAATGTCCTTAGAGATTACATTTTGTTGAAATTGTGATAACGATAATATGAAATAAATAACGCACACACACACACTCAACACAGCCCCGTACTGGGGAAACCCTATGTCGCGGGTGCCATGGGCACACATAGACAACCACAAATTACACCCAAACTCACGAGAGAAATAAATGAGGGCCATACAAATATTTCTCCCGGCCCGGGAATCGAACCTGGGACCTCTGCATGGCAATCCGGCATGGTAACCGTTCGACCACAGAGGCAGTTTGGCAAATGAAAAATTTAGTATTCAAAAATTCTATTGAATACACTAAAAGATAGAGAAAATACAAAACAAAAAAAATATCGTTGCCTTTCTTTCTCAAACTCGTGTTATAGAGCACAAAGTTACTGAAATGCAAAAAATGGACTGTGTTTACAGATTTTGCAGATTGATTTCACATCACGTTTCCTTCTTACTTACAAATTAACGCCCTTGATAAGGAATTTAAAATAAATAGAAAGTTTTGTCATCTCCTGAATAACCACTTTTTAACCGACTTCAAAAAAGGAGGAGGTTCTCAATTCGTCTGTATGTTCTTTTTTTTTTTTTTTGTATGTATGTTACGCGATAACTCCGGTATTTGTGAACCGATTTTCATGATTCTTTTTTTGTTGGAAAGGGGGTATTTCCATAGTGGTCCCATTTCATTTTGAAGAAAATCATCCACCTCAAATGGTGGCTGTTCACGCATGAAGATTCATTTTTATAAATAACGCGTAACTTTAATTTAGGAGCAATTACTTTTAGCAATTATTTAGTTGATTTTGCTATTTCTCCAATTCAAAGCGTTTTTCTCTCGATATACTTTAAGTAGTGTCATAGTGAGAACCTATTTTTATTATTCCAGTGTCAAGTCCTGTATAGTGGCGAACTAGGGGATATTTCAATAAAACTTAGCAAATAGACGTAATTCCACGTACTTTTGAGGTCGGTTTTTTTAGTACTCTGTACTGAGATTATTATAAGATACGAGTTTGAGCAAGTAAGGCGATTATGGAATATATTGCCCTTGATTATATTCTACTCTCCAACAAACACAAATGTGCGCCAGGTCGTAGTGTCGCTCAGAGCTTTAAATCTACTAGTACTGCTCCTGCGCCCGTTACCCTGAGACGTAACTTTAAAAGTCATATTTGCCTGTAATTTCCCCAGCATTCTTACCCTTCAAAACCGACCCAGTAATGCTCACATTACTGCTTGGTGGCAGAAATAGGTAAGGTGGCAGTACTTCCCTGGACGAACTCTTTCACAAGGAGCTCTACAGCTACTAGCAAAAATCATTCTTTAAGATCTGCAGTGCCTCAGCTATGTTCACTGTTCTATTATGGCAGTACTAAGTAATAAGTCGCCGTCACTATTGAACAGAATAAGTGCAGAGAGGAATGAGGGCTTAACTAAGCGGCACTTAATAAATATTGCAGTCTTTAGTAGAATATAAGTACCAATATAGTTTTAAGTCTGTATTCCTGTTGTTCGAAAATAAACAATTATTATTATTCAATACAAAACAAAAGCGCTTAACTAAAAGAAACCTGTAAAGAGCTAAAATGGGTTTCACCTTTCCAACTAATGAGCTGTTGTCGCCGTGTAAATTAGAAAATCAAATATTCATGTGTACGTTATGAAATTCAATGTTAAAATTGAATAGCATACAATACTCGATTTCATGTAATGAATGTCACAATATTGCAATTAAATGAAACTGTTTTTCGGATCTAAAATAGCGTATATTTACTTTACAAACCTTTAGTGCCCTTGTACTTACAAAGAGTCCGTAGCGTAAGTTTGTTTGAAAAAAATAAATGTATTTTTCTTTTATAATACCAAGTGACGGGCCGACAAGTCGTGCGCCTGGTGGTACGCGACACGCCTATCTATAACAGTTGTAAAGATCTTACGGGCACTACCACTGCCACCATCACCTTGAGACGTAAGTTGACAAGTCCCATGTGCCTGTAATTTCACCAGCACCCTTACCCTTCTAAACCGGAACGCAGTAATGCTCACATTACTGCTTGGCGACAGAAATAGGTTATACATAAAGAGATCAGTAAAAATAGTTTAAGAACTCGATATTACAGATGGCAGCACATTAAGCTACACATGGACGGATATTGTTGCGTTGCACAAGAGGCGATATTTAATCAAAAGTGGATAGCTTGTTTTTTTAGTAGCAGTAGCTCCTTGTGAAAGAGTTCATCCAGGTTAGTACTGCCACCTTAGCTATTTCTGCCGCCAAGCAGTAATATCAGCATTACTGTGTTCCGGTTTTGAAGGGTAAGAGTGCTGGTGAAATTACAGGCACATGGAACTTGTCAATTTATGTCTCAAGGTGACTGGCGCAGTGGTGGTGCCCCTCAGATCTTTGTAATTTAAAGCTCTGAGTGGCACACTACTTGTTCGTCCCGTCACTTGATGTTTTAAAAAATGTGCTGTTGGCAGTACAAAGTCAAATATAATGTGAAGGAATATTAACGACTCTAATATAAACGACAATACTTAACATAAAACGATATTGTATTACAAAATAACAGTATTCTACGATACTCGATACATAAATAGCACGCTGAGGAGTTTTGATGATCCTGTTGTCAGTGGTACGTAGGTACAGTCGGCAACGTACCAAGCTACACATTGGCGGATCCTATTCCGTTGCTTTGGAGGCGATATTGGAACAAAAGTATATGGCTTGGTGTGCTGTTGACTGTATACGTGTAGATGTATGAGTGACGGAAAATATGTCATTGACCGTACATAATTTGCAATTCTAGAAAATTAAGAATTCCTTTGTGCTTTATATTATAATCTTTGACGACCTCGATGACTCAACGGATTGTAATGAGCGTCGGATGAGGAGGTCACGGGTTCGATTCTCTTTTCTAAATTGGTTCTAGTCGCGTGTTCGTACTCAAAGTGCAGAGAATGCTTTAGTTAGAGACCAGGTGATTGATGTGGCGATCTTGCTGGCACAATAATTATTCTTTGTGTGTTTTCTAAACTCCATGAAAAATTAGTAAGCATAAATTTAGTTTAAGGTACTTCATTATTGAAAAAAACATATTATATAAATAGTAATATCGCTGCAAAAATGATTTTTTTTAAGATTACTTACACATACTTATATAAATGATTTTCTGTAACTTTTTTAAGGTTTTTTTTTCCTATCAGGTCCTTTCATTCTTTAATTTATTTACAGGTATTTGTATTTAGAACATTGGCGGTCTCTATTATGACTTTAAAAAAATATATGCAGCAAAACAAAATTAGAATATATTAAATGTCACGTTGTGGTTTAAAAATAGACACCAACAATACTTATTTCTTTCACATCACTATAAAATCACCTATTTCACATATAAAAGAAATAAAATTAAGATTATAAAGTTATCACTTATCATAATTTTATCGCAAAAGAATTTACTAATAATCTACGTTGCTAATTGTATAAATAATTTGATACGGGCATTGGTATTTGATACAAGACTGTGGGTTCGCAACATAAATACCTTTCAACGGAGACCGCAACCGCAAAGTGTAGAAAGATTTTTATCGGCATCGATAACACTACACAAAACAAACAAACGTCAGTAGATACAATCTTCGTAAATTAAACAATAGCACACTGTGATAATGTTACATTTGTCTTTACCTTTGTAGACGCACTTTGAATATCCACTTTTTAATTGCTTCTTAACAAATAAAAATGTTTTTATTAGTATATAACTGGTTCAAAAACTTTGCGTTCATTTTTTTAAATATTTTTTGTATAATATAGAATGCTAACAACTTTGATCTGTGCGATGCAACGACTATTTTCACATTCAGCCTGCAAATTTAAAAAAATACTTCCTAAAGGTCGCGGTGTCTCACGACTGATTGGAGTGAAACGCGACCGTGCCAAAGCGTTCTGTAAACTAAACTGAGTGTTAACTGTAAACCAGCCTTTCCCAAAGTGGGCGATAACGCGCTCTTGTGGGCGCTACAGGCCTAAAGAGAAAAAAAATGGGGGCGTTGTGTAGAGGCTTAGGGGGAGATTTGTAATTTCATCTAGGAAGACTCTTAGACACCGACTGAGCTCTCGACTACAACTTGTGAACATCAACTAATATTAATTAAGAGATTGCTCAAACTAACTCGGTTCGATATTTCTGTCCGTGTAGTTCATATATATGTGTCCTGTTTTATTAAATAAATAAAATAAAAATCATGTCAATCGGTCGCTCCGTTTCGAAATGAAAGTAGGCACAAACAAACAAATAAAAAGGCAACAGACACAGTTTCGCATTTTAATGGTTATTAGTATTCCTAGATAGGTAATTTTCGTAGATCGCGAGATAAATAACCCGATTTGTGCATTCCTGTATCAATCGGCTGGTTCATAGAATACTTGCTC